CCCAGGCCCAGAGTTCAAGCCCCACTGACCGACAAAAAAAAAAAAAAAGTTTCCTGCCTGGGCTGGCTTCGAACCACCAGTGCCCGGCTGTCTTTTAACAGTGACCCTCAGAAACTGGGACAAGAAAGTACAGGTAACCAAAGGACAAGGAGTATATGAAATAAATAATGTAGGTTAAAAGTCTTAACACACTGTCTGGAACATTAAAAAAAAATTACACTCCTAGAAGTGCTCTGGTGGCTCACCCCTGTAATCGTAGTTACTTAGGAAGTTGAGATCTGAGGATCAAGGTTCAAAGCCAGCCTGGATAGGAAAATCCACGAGACTCTTTTTTTTTGGGGGGGGGGGGGGTCCGGTCGTGGGGCCTGAACTCTGCGCCTGGGCACTGTCCCTCAGCTCTTCAGCTCAAGGCGAGCACTCTACCACTTCACAACGCTACTTCTGGCCTTTTTTTTTTCTGTTTATGTGGTGCTGAGGAATCGAACCCAGGGCCTCAAGCATGCAAGGCAAGCACTCTACCACTGAGCCACCTTCCCAGCCCTCCAGGAGCCTCTTATCTCCAAAGAATCACAAAGAAGCCGAGCTCCGGTGGCTCCCACCTATAATCCCAGCTACTTAGGAGGATGAGATCTGAGGATCACGGTTCAAAGCCTTGAGATTCTTATCTCCAATAAACCACTAGAAAACCAGAAGTGCCTCTGTGGCTCAAGTGGTAGAGTGATCGCCTTGAGCTGAAGAGTGCAGGGACAGTGCCCAAATCCAGAGTTCAAGCCCTAGGACGGACCAAAAAAAAAAAGAATCACAAAGAAGGAGGAAGTAAAGGCATAGTTCAAAGGAGTAGAGTGCTAGCCTTGAGCAAAAAAGCTCAGGGGTCAGTGCCCAGGCTCTGAGTTCAAGCCCTATGACTGATGACAAAAAGAAAAACCAACACAAACACACACACACACACACACACACACACACACACACTCAAAGTTAACTTTCATTGATCATTGTAGTCAACTTCTGACACCTACTAGGAGTTATGCACCTACCAGGCTATAGTAAGGCGCTCCCAAGCTCTCTCATTATTCTTTTGAGGAGCTGAGAGGGTGTATATGAGTGGCCTCTAGGAGGACAGCCTGGAGAGCCGAATGAAGTGACAAAAGGGATAAATGAGTGTATTCAGAGCAGATAGCGGCGCTTTGTGCAGGGCTGCTGCCCTCCGTACTGTGATTGAGTTCTCATATTCTTGGGGGAGGGGGGGAGAAGGATGGGATGTTCTTGCCCATAGGCAGCATTTATTACAATTGCCCCAGCACCCAAATAAGGGAAAAGCAAAGTATCTGTTGGGTCTTTTGAAGCCCTAATTGTAATTCTCTATCAGGCCTCCCGAAATCTCCTGAGGGGTCTGTGGGATGCAGACCCCCTCACCCCCATCAGTGTCCTGGCTCCCGGGCCTCCAGTGAGGGTCTTGAGCCTGTTTTCCAGTGCTTAAGTGACTGGCAAGGTGAGCAGAGAGCAGCTTGGGGAAATGAATCCGAAGCGGATTAGCGCAGGGTGGGCTTGGGGAGGGACGGCATTCAGGTGCCCCTCACCCCACACCGGGAGAGCAGCGGGCACTCAGACTCACCTTGACCTGCAGCTGGAGTGGGTTTGGAATGAGGATTGGAAGGCAAGATCCGGGCACTTTACCTTGGGCAGGGGAAGACTAAGGGCGAGGGCCAGGGACTGGAGCAGGACTCTGTGGGTGAAGAAGAAGCTGGATCCCATTTCCAGATCCCAGAGCCCATGGCAGCCCTCCCACTAAAAGTCAGGAATCTTGTTCATGCACTGCAAGACAGGAATGCAACTTAAGTTTGTCTGTCTGTGTTTTCTTTTAAGTTTGGATACATCTCCCCCAACCCCAAGGCTGGAGAGCAAACCCAGGCCATGTGCAGGCCTGTTAGGCACCTCCCCAGCCCTTGTTCCTTTCAGACAGAATCTTGGTATATAACTCGGATTGGCCTTGACTTGGCTATATTACCCAGGCTGTCGCCAAACTCTCCATCTTCCTGAGGTTGGGGATTATAGCCATGCTAATTGTTTTTAGAATAAAATATCAAGCCAAGCACCGGTGACTCACACCAGTAATCCTAGCTACTCAGGAGACTGAGATCTGAGGATCATAGTTCAAAGCCAGCCAGGGCAGGAAAGTCTGTCTGTGAGACTCTTATCTCCAATTAACCACCAGAAAACCTCTGTGGCTCAAGTGATAGAGCACGCTACTTGAGCTGAAGAGCTCAGGGACAGCACCCAAGCCCAGAGTTCAAGCCCCAAAACTGACAACAACAACAACAAAAGTCAATATGGTGATGACAGTTAATGCTGACCCTTACTTTGCGCAAGGTTCTATTCTTTTTTTTTTTTTGGTCAGTCATGGGGCTTGAACTCTGGGCCTGGGCGCTGTCCCTGAGCAATTCAGCTCAAGGCTAGCAATTTACCACTTGAGCCACAGCGCCATTTCTAGTTTTCTGATGTTTTATTGGAAATAAGAGTCTCAAAGACTTTCTTGCCTGGGATGGCTTTGAACCATGATCCTCAGATCTCAGCCTCCTGAGTAGCTAGGATAACAGGCATGAGCCACCCGGGCTCAGCTGTAAGGTTCTATTCTAAGCACTTTATAGGCTTTTTTTTAATCCCTCAGAACAAGCTGATAAGATGGGTGTAATTATTAGCCCCACTTAGAGGAGGAAATAGACCTTAAGAAATGGAAAGGCCTGGGGCTGGGAAGGTGGCTCAGTGGTAGAGCACTTGCCTTGCATGCCTGAGGCCCTGGGTTCGATTCCTCAGCACCACATAAGAAAAAAGCCAGAAGTGGCGCTGTGGCTCAAGTGGTAGAGTGCTAGCCTTGAGCTGAAGAGCTGAGGGACAGCGCCCAGGCCCAGAGTTCAGGGCCCACGACTGGACCCAAAAAAAAAAAAAAGAAAAGAAATGGAAAGGCCTACCTTATGTCACACAGCAACCAGGATTTCAATCCTGTTCTACTTTGCTCCCAAATCATGTGCCTTCTCTCTTCTATGTGATATGTATGGCTTCTTAGTCTCATGCCTGAATTGTGTTGAAATGAGTTTAGACTTGGAAAGGCCCAGGTGTATCTATGACTTTTAAAATAGAGGAGTATCAAGCTGTGTACCAATGGCTCACATGTGTAATACTAGCTACTCAGGAGGCTGAGATCTAAGGATCACACTTCAAAGCCAGCCCAGGAAGTAAAAGCAATAGACCCTTATCTCCAATTAAACAGTAAGAAGCCGGAAATGAAGGCATGGCTTAAATGGTAGAGTGCTAGCCCTGAGCAGAAAAGGTTAACCAAGATCATGAGGCTGAGTTCAAGACCCAGAAAGTGGAAAAAGCTAAGCAAGTGTTTGTTCAAGCCCTCAGCCAAGTGCTGGTGGCTCACACCTGCAATCCTAGCTACTCAGATAGCTGAGATGTGAGGGTCATGACTCAAAGTCAGCCTAGGCAGGAAAATCCAAGAGATTCTAATTTCCAATTCAACAACAACAAACTGGAAGTAGAGCTGTGGTTAAAGCGGGAGAGTTCTAGCCTTGAGTACAAAAGCTCAGGGACAGAGCTCAGGCCCTGAGTTCAAGTCCCAGGATGGTCAAAAAAAAAAAGTGAAAGGCCCTGAGTTCAGGCCCCAATACTGGAATGAAAGGAAGAAGGAAGGAAAGAAGAAGGAAGGAAGGAAGGAAGGAAAAAAGTTGGGAAGGGAGGGAAATTTGAGGCTCAGGAAGAAAAAATGACTTGTTCTTGGTTACATAGCAAAATCACTACTTGTCAGGACTAGGAGTCCTATAATACACAGTCCATAGCTGAAAAAAAGTCATTTCTTAAGGATATGTGAGCCTGTATTGTGCAAGAAGAAAGGCACACAGACATCTGTGTACGCCAGCACTGAGCTGGTCTGCCATCTTAGACACTCCCTATTTAAGACACATTAAAAAAAAAGCCCTCTTTATCTCTATCCCACACTTTCTTTGGGCCCCAAATTGTACCCAAGAAGTCCCTGAGACACAGCAATTTTCACAGCAGGTTGAAGATGGTGCCCAGAGAAACCACATCAGAGATCTCCCCTAGTCCCGAGATAGAGTTATGGGCAAGGTAGCTGCTGCCCAGATTTGAGTATACCCTGACAGAGACTTGGGGTATACACAGGAACTTTCTAGGGGAAATCTCTGGTTATGGCAATCTCCCCAGAACACAGGTCCAGTGGTCCATGGTTGTGGGTTTCAAACAGCAGTGTGGTGTTGTCAGAGTTCTGTGTGTACATGTATGAGGAAGGTCAGCCCTGTGACCTGGCCATGTGACAAGGCTGTGTGCATGTGACTGGGCAGCTGGACGCTCGGGAATCACCTTTCCCAAAAGCCTGATCTAGCATTAGGGCTTTGGACAAATGTGAACTCATTTGTCCACCAGGGCCAGACAGGCCCAAGATCACAGAGCAGGTAAATGGGGTTCAGACAACCAGGCTCAGAAGCCCTCATCCCTGTGCCCACCTAGGAAACCTAAAATGGTTGTTGAGAACTTGGACTTTGCTTCAGGCCTGGGTTCTGGCTCTATCATGGTGGATGCCCTTGACCTTGGGAAGGTTGAATAGCTTCTCCAAGCCTCAGGGTTCCTAACAAAGCAAGAACTATGCATTAAGCATTGGATTGGCTAAGGTAGCCCAGGACTGGTGGCTCATGCCTGTAAGCCCTAGTTACTCAGGAGACCGAGATCTGAGGATCAAAGTTCAAAGCCAGATTGGGCTGGAAAGTCCATGAGACTATCTCCAATCAGCCATCAAAAAGTTGGAAGTGGAGCTGCTGTGGCTTAAGTGGTAGAGTGCCAGCCTTGAATTAAAGAGCTAAGGGACAGTGCTCAGGCCCTGAGTTCAAACCCCAATAATGGCACAAAAAAAAAAAAAAAAGGATGCTTTGTGCAAACTTCCAGCCATGTCATCCTGGCTCACCTTATCCTGCTTGCTGTCCCCACAGATCATTACTGGGACTTCCACCCACACCACGTGCACAGTGAGTTCGAGAGCTTTCCCGAGAACCATTTCACGGAGCTGCAGAGCGTGCAGCCGCCCCAGCTGCAGCAGCTCTACCGCCACATGGAGCTGGAGCAGATGCACGTGCTCGACACTCCCATGGTGCCACCCCACAGCAGCCTCAGCCACCAGGTGCATGCTGCCCGCCAGCCTCTGTCCCCTCTGATCATGCCAGACCTCTGGAGAGGCCCCAAAGCATCTCAGGGAGCTGACATAGGCTCTTACTCAGCATGGCTTACTGCTCTGCAGCCAGAACACTGACACCCCCCCACCCCCAACCCTGGGATCTGATCTCCTGTCATTAAAGGATGGACAGATCCCAGATGATCCCCAAATTCTTGTCTATTCTCTCCACTCATGCCTGGCTGGGGTCTTTACTAATTGAAATCTCTACTTCCAGTCCCTTCCTACCTCTGACATCTGTCACTAAACACGGACCTGTGCTGATCTCCCCTTCCTCCCTCTCCTCCTGACATCCAGTATTGACACTTCTCTGCTCCAGGGGTCCTGACCCCCACTTGTGGTCTGCGTGGACTTTTATCACCCCTCACTAACTTCTATGGTCTCTCTACTTGCTCATCACCCCATTATTAAGAACCATTACGGTCAGGATTATCACTGCTCCCCAGCCCTCCCTCTCTGTCCCCAGAACCACTGTCCAACCAGACAGCACCTTTGCAGGTATGAGAACAGGTGCTCCTTCCCCTGCCCCGAGCCACAGAGCCAGCTGTCAGCAGTCTGCACCTGCATTCCTGTGCATGGTGACCCAACCTGGCCTCTAGTTCCACCATAATTCCATCTCCCAGCAGAGCACCCCAAGACTCCCTCTCCCCTCACTCAGACCCTCGGAGCCAGCTGCAGCCCTGATGCTTGTCCCTTACTGACCCCACCCCCTTCCCACACCTCCAGGTCTCCTACCTGCCCCGGATGTGCCTCCCTTACCAATCCCTGTCCCCAGCCCAGCCCAGCTCAGACGAGGAGGGTGAGCGGCAGAGCCCCCCACTGGAGGTGTCTGATGGGGAGGCTGACGGCCTGGAGTCTGGGCCAGGCCTCCTGCACGGAGAGACAGGTAAGGGCCAGCCCCTGACCCCTCCAGGGTCAGCCAATGGTCCTGACCTGACCCTGGCTGTGTCTGGACCTTTCCCATCCCAGCCAAGGCCAAATGACCCAGCAGCCATGCCAGTGTGATGTGTGCACATTTTGTGGGGGCTTCTGAGGCTCTGTGACTGAGCAGGTGTCTGTGAGCACGTGTGAGTGTGAGGGTGGGTGCATCTTCATATCTGTGCTGTGTATGTAAATGAGTGAACTGTGAGTGTGCATAGGTGTGGACATGCATGTGGACACATGTGAGCAGATAGGAGCATGTGTGTTATGGAGCTGTATACAGAGGTTTGTATCTGTGTGCATTTGCACGTGGATGTATATGTGTATATGGAGGTGTGTGTGTATGTATGGAAGTGTATAGGTGTGCATATAGGTGTATGTGTATATCTATGTGCACGTGTGTGTATGGAATTGTGCATGTGTGCATATGGATGCATGTATATGGGTATGTGTGTATATGTGTGTATGGAGTTGCAGGTGTATGTGCACACAAATGATGTGTGAGATTGGGTATATATATGTGCATATGGGAGGACATGTGTATGGAGGTGTGCAAGCGTGCATGTGTGCAATGTGTGTACGTGTGTGTATTTGGGTGCATGTGCATGCATGCATATATGGAGGTGTGAGTGCATGTGCGCGCGTGTGTGGGCATGTGCATGCGTGTGCACGTCGGTGTGTATACATGTCCATACGTGTGCACATACACGTGTGTCTGTGGGTGCACGCCCGTATACATGCGTGCACATAGGAGGGGGGTCCCTGAGTCTGCACCCCGGCCGGCCCCTCCCCTACAGGCAGCAAGAAGAAGATCCGCCTGTACCAGTTCCTGCTGGACCTGCTGCGCAGCGGCGACATGAAGGACAGCATCTGGTGGGTGGACAAGGACAAGGGCACCTTCCAGTTCTCGTCCAAGCACAAGGAGGCGCTGGCGCACCGCTGGGGCATCCAGAAGGGCAACCGCAAGAAGATGACCTACCAGAAGATGGCGCGCGCGCTGCGCAACTACGGCAAGACGGGCGAGGTGAAGAAGGTGAAGAAGAAGCTCACCTACCAGTTCAGCGGGGAGGTGCTGGGCCGCGGGGGCCTGGCCGAGCGCCGCCACCCGGCGCACTGAGCCCCGCGCCCGCCCGGCCGCCCGGCCGCCGCCGCCTGGCCGGGGACCCCGCCGCCCGCCGGCCATAGCATTAACCCCGCGCCCGGCCCGGACTCAGGGAGGACGCTCCCGGCGGGGCGCAGGCAGGACTGCCGGGGAGGGGGGGCCCGGACCCGCACCCCTCCTTCCAACACCCTCTCCACCCCCACCCTCCTCCCTCAGGACTCTGCCTGGGCGTCGGCGGACCCCACCCCAGGGTCAGCCTCGCTTTGTGACCACGGGTGCTTCCTTGGGAGTCTGAGGTCATCCCACCCACCCGTGTAAGTTCGACCCTCCCTTCAGCGACGCCCCCCCCATCCACCTGCCTCCCCCAGATCGAATAAAATCGTCCCCACCTCCCTCATCCTCCTGCCTCCCCCAGCTCCAGTAGAATTATTCTCAGCGACTTCCCTGGCGGCTCTGGTGGCTCACTGCCTGGAATCCTAGCTTCTTAGGGTGAGGATCGCCGTTGGTTTGATGATAGCCTGAGCAGGAAAAATCCTCCGTGAGACGCTTCATCTCCAGTGGGCCAGCCGCCAGTGGGAAGGGGGTGCTGTGGCTCAAGTGGCAGAGTGCCAGCTTTGAGTGAGAAAGCAAACGGACAGAGCCCCAGCCCCGAGTTCAATCCCACAGTTCTTGTGCATCTCCTGTGGGCACAGCGACATCTCTTTTCCTCATCTGTCCATTGGGTGTTTACCTTGGGTAGGTTTGAAGCCAACCCTGGCAAGAAAGTCTGTGAGACTTTTTTTTTTTTGGGGTCCGCTCATGGGGCTTGAACTCTGGGCCTGGGCGCTGTCCCTCAGCTCTTCAGCTCAAGGCTAGCGCTCTACCACTTGAGCCACAGCGCCACTTCCAGCTTTTTTTTTTTCTGCTTATGTAGTGCTGAGGAATGGAATCCAGGGCCTTATGCATGCAAGGCAAGCGCTCTACCACTGAGCCACCTTCCCAGCCTCCAATTAACCACCAAAAAAGCCAGAAGTGGAGCTGTAACTCAAGTGACAGGGCACTAGCCTTGAGCAAAAAAACCTCCCAGACAGCTTCCAGGCCCTAAGTTTAAGCTCCATAGCCAACACACACACACACACACACACACACACACACACACACACACACACACACACACACAGAGTGGTTAAAAATAAAAGAACTGGGCGCCCATGTCTCACACCTGTAATCCTAGCTACTCAGGAGGCTGAGATATAAGGATGGCAGTTCAAAGCCAGCCATGGCAGAAAAGGCCATGAGACTCTTATCTCCAATAAACCACTCAGAAAACTGAAAGTGGAGCTGTGGCTCCAGTGGTAGAGCGCTAGCCTTGAGCTAAAGAGCTGAGGGAAAGCGCCCAGGCCCAGAGTTCAGGCCCCATGACTGAACAAACAAATAAATAAATAAAAATAAAGGGAAGGCTGGCCATTGGTGGTGCATGCCTTTAATTCTATCTACCCAGGAAGCTGAGATCTGAGGATAGAGGTTTGAAGCCAGCCCAGTCAGGAAAGTCCATGTGACTCTTTTTTTTTTTTTTTTGGTCCCGTCATAGGGCCTGAACTCTGGGCCTGGGCACTGTCCCTCAGCTCTTCAGCTCAAGGCTAGTGCTCTACCATTGGAGCCACAGCGCCACTTCTGGCTTTTTTCTGTTTGCTTATGTGGTGCTGAGGAGTCGAAACCAGGGCCTCATGCATGCAAAGCAAGCGCTCTACCACTGAGCCACCTTCCCAGCCCCTCCATGTGACTCTTATCTCCAAGTAACCATCAAAAAAGCTGGAAGTGGAGCTGTGGCTCAAGTGGTAGAACTCCAGCCTTGACTGAAAAATTCAAGGGACAGTGTGAGGATCAGTTCCAGCCTCAGTATTGGAACTAACTTAATGGAAAGAATGGCTTTGAATGTTTAAAGGGGAAAGGAAGTTTTTATCATCTGGAAAATATTTGCATATGGAATCATTCTCTTTGCATAGAGGGAAATAATTGCTCTTTTTGGAAACCGATGTTGGTGGAAGGAGGTCACAAGTGATTTGCTTTTTTTTTTTTTTTTTTTTTTTTTAGTCATGGGTCTACCCCGGACTCTTGCTCAAGGCTAGTGTTCTACCACTTTGAGTCACAGCTCCACTTCCAGTTTGAAGGTGAGGTTGGCTTTGAACTACAACCCTCAGATCTCAGCCTCCTGAGTAACTAGGATTGCAGGTGTGAGCCACCACTACCAGCCTTATTTTGCTTCTTTCTGTAACAAGAAATGACCTCAAAGGAAGTGAGTCCAAACCCAGGGAGAGAGAGACACAGTGTGCTGGAGAGATGCCAGACACCCTGGCAGTCATCTTTTGGTCATCTTGATGACGTTGTCTTTTCTGTCTTCTACCTTGGGAGGTACATTTAGAGATTTACCCTTGTGCCCTCACTAGCAGGCTCACCCGGCCCTTTTCCTGAGTGATATCTGCCCCCAACGTCTCTTCCCCACCTGGCCTTGGACTAAGCCAGCATTCCACAACATGAAGCCAGCCGGACCCCTTATGGTGTGACAACATGGGTCAGCTACTAAGAACGAGCATTGATTGGTTGGTTCACTGTGTTCTACATGCTGTCGGTGTCCTAGGGCTTTTCCTTTGTGAACCCACTTCATACATGCGATGATCCTATCTGGTAGGTGCTGTGATCCTCAGCCCACTTCACAGAAGAGAAAACCAAGGCATTGGGGGCTTAACCAACAAGATGGCAAAACTCAAGCAGCCAGTGTCAAGCCTGTGGGCGCCATTGCCCAGCCAGGTGCTCTTGGTCCTTTCGTGCAAGGCTATGGGCCCAGCATCCTTCCACCAAACTGTCTGTTGTCAGATGGACACAGGGACTTGTATCCCTGAGGTCCACCATGGGTTGGAGGGACAAAAGCTATCACATTTTGCTGGGGGAGGGGGGGGGAGGATGGCTGGGAGGACGGCTGAGGAAAATGAGGGCCTACCTTTTCCCTGGAGAGACCTCAGCTGGATGGAATCTGTCTATATTTAGCAGGTGGCTGGCAGGAGGCAGATAAGCAGAGCTGAGGGGGAGGTCCTCATATATAATGGAGAGGGCAGGACCCCGCTCAGTCTTTCGTTGGGTGGCCCCTGCCTGCTTGGTGCTTCGTGTGATCTCTCTCAAAATGCCTGAACCCGGGAAAAAGCCAGGTAATTCCAGGACCAGGGCTGGGCTGGGCATATGGGTGGGTGGGGAGGTGCATAGCTGGAGGCCAAGGCTGAGGAGAGTTCTCAAAGGGGCTTGGTTATTTTATTTTTATTTATTTATTTTTTTTCCGGTACTTAGGCCTGAACTCAGGGCCTGGGTGCTTTCCCTTCGCTTTTTCCCTCCCAGCGAGTGCTCTACCTCTTGAGCTACCGCTCCACTTCTTGCTTTCTGGTGGTTAATTGGAGATAAAAGTCTCACAGATTTTTCTTCTTGGGCTGTCTTCAAAATCTTGCTTGATCCTCAGCTCTCCTGAATTGTTAGGATTACAGGAGTGAGCTACCAGCCCCCAGCTCCTTGGTCTTCCTTTCTTCCTTCTCTTCCTCTCTTCCTTCCTTCCTTTCTCTCTCTCTCTCTCTTTCTCTCTCTCTCTCTTTTCTTTTCTTTCCTCACTCAGTTTCTTTTCCCATCTCTCTGATGAGGCCAAAGGTAAACCCAGTGTTAGGACAGCACCAAGGCCGGACGCACCCAGGCCAACACCACATTCTCAGAATGCAAGGGGTTCCTTCCTACCCATCCCCAGTGACTCCAGATAGAATCCCAGGATTACACGACTGAGTGGGCTGATGCCCCTGCCCTCTCTGGGTCTTGGTTTCTCCATCTTTCCAGGCCTGGGTGGGATAGCTCCTTCCGGCTGTGACGTTGTCTGCTTCCTGGTCTGTATCATTTGGGTGGTTAGGTATGAACTCCACTTGAAGGTGACAAAGCTCCTCTTCTCTGGGAGACAAAGGTCAAGAGGCTTGGAGCCCATGTGAAGGGCAGTGAAGAACCACAGCCCAGGAGGCTGGACCTGGCTATGCCCTTGCGAAGGCTGTTCAAGGCACAGATCCAGGTTCCTCCACCCAACCCCCTCCCCGGCCAGCTTTATCTCAGCTGCTGATTGTCAGCCCCAGGCCCTCAGAGGACAAATTTAGCCACATTCCAAGTAGGCAGAGTACCTGCCCGCTGCAAGGGCCCAGTGCGTGGTGGGAGTGGGGGTGGAGTGGGAGGCTGGGCTCATCATTGGTGGCTTTAGGCCCTGAGGAACCAGGGGACATACCTAGCATAAGTCCATGTAGAATTGCTGAGTGTTGATGGCTCAAACCTATCATCCTATCTATTTAGGAGGATGAGATATGAGGATCATGGTTTGAAGCTAGCCTGAGCAAACAAATCTGGATGCTTATCTCTAACCAGCAAAAAAAAATTTGGAATTGAAGATGTGGTTCAAGTGATAGATCACCTAAGTGTGATCAAGAAAGCCAAGCAATAATTATAACCCTTCTGTACACCACCTTTATAATAACAATAAAAAATTCTTAAAGGGCTGGGAAGGTGGCCCAGTGGTAGAGCACTTGCCTTGCATGCATGAGGCCCTGGGTTCAATTCCTCAGCACCACATTAGCAAAAAGAAAAAAGCCAGAAGTGGCGTTGAGGCTCAAGTGGTAGAGCGCTAGCCTTGAGCTGAAGAGCTGAGGGACAGTGCCCAGTCCCAGAGTTTAGGCCCCACAACCGGACCCCCCAAAAAAAAAATTCTTAAAAAAGAAAGGCCAGGCACCGGTGGCTCACACCTATAATCCTAGCTACTTAGGAGGCTGAGATCTGAGGAACACGGTTCAAAGTCACCCCGGGCAGGAAAGTCCAGGAGACCCTTATCTCCAATTAACCACCAGAACACTGGAAGTGGTGTTGTGGCTCAAGTGGTAGAGCACTAGCCTTGAGCTGAAGAGCTCAGGGACAGTGCTCAGGCCCAGAGTTCAAGCCCCAAGACAGACCAAAAAGAGAGAGAGAGAAAAAGAAAGTTAAACAAGAGCTAAGAAAGGCTCAAGTTCAAGCCTCAATATTGATATTTAAAAAAAAAAAAAGCTATATGGAAGTTAGGACCATAACTGTTCACCTATGAGCTCTGTGTGTGTGTGTGTGTGTGTGTGTGTGTGTGCGTGTGTTGCCAGTTCTTGGGCTTGAACTCGGGGCCTGGGCACTGTTCCTGAGCTTCTTTCGCTTAAGGTTAGCACTGTACCACAGTGCCACTTCGGCTTTTTCTGTGTATGTGGTACTGAGGAATCTAACCTGTGGCTTTGTGCATGCTAGGCAAGCACTCTACCACTAAGCCACCTTCCCAGCTCAGCTGTGTGGTCTTAAACACATAGCCTTTCTGGTCTCTGAGAAAAGAACAAAACAAT